AACACCTTAACTGTTTTATCACAACTCCCTTTAACAACATGTCATTTTATGGCCTCTATGGCTTCAAAAGAAGCCTCTATGTAAGTTCTGTACACACGTTAAATTTTTTTTTTTTTATAATACAAAATACAAAATATGAAAAAAAAAAATAATAAGTTGAAATTTTCTAACAATTAACTTACAGATTTTTAATACAGGATTTTAAGGTTCATGATATAAACACTTCGGCATGTATATTCAGATCTAATGCAACTCATGCCCCGGTAGCATATATAATGCATGCTGACAATACAAGTTCACGAACGATCATAAATTATAATGGGTATTTTTTTTTTCATAATTCACGAATTAAATTCAAAAGTTCAATTTCTTCATTAATAGCATTCATTCATTTATTAATTTTCTATTTTCCCAAAACGTAAAATAGCATAGATGAATTAGCATTTGATGAATTTAAAAATAAATTCGATCTAATTTGCGCTGAAGAAACAATAATCAACATGTCAAATTATGATTATGGAGTAGAAGATGAAGATGGTGCACCTTTTAATTGGATTCATTTTGAAGGAAGAAATGCACAAGAAGTATCAAAAATGATCGATTATATTGATAGTAAGGATTGGAGGTCAAGGGCAATTGTTAGTGTCGAATTAGAGAAACCTTACCGTAAAGGCTTGGAGATTTTGATGAGTAAATCAGATGTTTTATTCTTCTCAAAAGTATTCGCTGAAGGCAAAGGTTATACTAGTGCTAGTGATTTCTTACAAATAATGTCACCTTTTTGTAAAAAAACGTTAGTATTAAACAATTACCATTGAAGAAAGAATATTTAAATTGACTATCAACTCCAAAAAAATTTAGTTAAATTATTAATATCTTTTTTTGAAAAATAATTAGTGCATATCTTTTTTGTACTTGGGGAAGTTTAGGAGCATCATGTTATCATAATACAACATGTAAACTTTATTCTGAATCTGCTTATAGAATAGCTAATATTGTTGATTCTGTAGGTGCTGGTGATACCTTTAATGCTGGAATTATATACGGGTTGTCTCGAAAAATGCCAATTGATGAATGTTTAAGATTTGCATGCGAGTTATCAGGTCGCAAATGTGCTCAGATTGGGTTTAACGGTATAACAGAGGCAATGAGAAGTTTTTAAATATATTTGATTTTTTATTTTATTAATTAACTATATTTTATTTTAAGTGTAATATATACATTATTCTTATAAATCTATTAGTTATTTATTTACTCATTCACTACTAATTAATAATTACATCACTCTTTCTATTATTTAATAATTTAATTGATTTTTCTATTACTATACAATATAACTTACCAAATAGAATTAACTAATAAATGATTTTCATTAAGAATGAGGTGGCTGATATCCAGCATCCAACAAATGTATTAAACTTCTTTCAACATTATGAGCTTTTGAAACTGTTAAATCAGGATTAACTTGTATCAATCAAATAAAGTGGACAGATTTACTTCCTCTTAACCATGAAAATTTATCACATTTGGCTCCTTTGCCTAATTATATATAATCTGATATCAAAGTAAAAATGCATGACTACTTTGCAAAGATAATTATTACCTTTATACGTCTTTCTCGACTTTTTTTAATAACATCATCTTTAACCCTTACACCAACCAATTCTTTTGATGATGACAACATTATTTCTATACCATTTTCATTATCATGCCTGCAACCAACATACCTTCCAAATAAAGCTCCGTCGACGCGGTTTAGAGGCAAACCAAACTGAACCGAATTTTGATAAAAATTATTTAAAACCTGTTTCCCATACCAAAATTGACTCACCATTATGAGTTTAAAGCTTGAGTAACCAGTACAGCTTGAACACAGCGTGATTTTATCGTTTTTAATGCTTTGTAAAAAAAACAACAAATAAAAAATCCTAAGTATTAATAATACAAAGTAAAAGCTTGTCGCTATATGATTCAAAATTAAAAGGACAAAATACAAATCAAAGAAGCCTTATAATCACGCTCAAGCACGACGCGATTTGATGTTTTTACACCCAGACAAAATATTGGATTTTAAAATTTATTGTATCACCATTTCATAGTGATACAAAAATAAAATATAATATATACACACAGACACATATAAATTTGTTAATTAATAATTAAAATGAATGATTTTGCTAGCGAAGTCTGTAAAGATTTTGCTGGAATGCTTGAGGATGAAGAAGGTTATGATGTAAAAATTTATGTTGATGAAGAACCAAACATGGAGGAAATTCATGCTCATTCGTTTGTTTTAAGAGCTCGTTGTCCCTACTTTAAGGCTGCCTTTTCTTCAAATCGGGCAAAAAAAGAAGGTGAATATTATATTTTTTATAAACCAAATGTTACAGCTTCAGTTTTTAGAATTATTTTAAAGTAAGTGAATTAAAATTTTTATTAGAATATATAAATACATATGTCATATGTTTATATTCTGCTTTATGAGTTAAATTTGAGTATCACAAGATTAATTCATCAAAAATTTCTATTATGTTTTATTTTAATTAGACATTGGTATAGTGGAGATGTTGATTGGACTAATTATACAGAGAATGATATTCTTCAATTATTGATTATAACAGATGAATTTGATCTACAATTACTTAAAGAACATGTGGAGAATTATCTGATAAAAAATCATTTAAAGTATTTAGAAGAAAATCCAATTGAAATACTTCAATTAGTTTACAGTCATATCTCATTTACAAGTTTAAAAAAATTATGTTTGAAGAAGATATGCTCTAATGCAAAAGAATTTTTTAATTTAGATGCATTTTTAAAAATAGAAGAACCCATTTTATTAATGATTCTCAAATGTGAAGCTTTAAATATTAAAGAGATAGAGATTTGGGAGAGTGTACTTAAATGGGCTCTAGCAAGATTCCCTGATATTGACAATGATGTGAAAAAATGGACTCAACAAGATTTTGTTGATATGAGGAATGCTTTAAAAAAAATCATGCCATTAATCAGTTTCCGTGAAATATCTGGTGAAGATTTTTTTGATAAGGTTAAACCTTACAAGAAAATCATAGAAAAAGGTTTTAGAAACAGTATTTTACGTTATTACATAGTACATGATGACAAATCTCTTTTAAATTTACCATTTAGACATCCAGTTATTAATTCAGTGTTAATTGATCATAAACATGTTTTACTTTTTTCAAGTTGGATTGACAAAGCAGGCAGATTGTATGACTCTGTTGAACAAGTCAAATACAAATTTATGCTTTTATATCATAGTAATAAAGAAGGACTTGAGGTTTCAAGGTATCATCAAAGGTGTGACACAGCAAGTAAAACTCTGACAGTAGTAGGAATACAAAATTCAGATCAAATAATTGGAGGGTATAATCCACTTGATTGGAGTGGTTATGGATACAAATCAACATTTGGTAGTTTTATCTTTAATCTAAGCAATAAAAATGATCTTAATACTGCAAAATTCAGTTATGTTAAAGATAGTTCATTTGCTGTTTATTGTGATACTCTTTATTTGCCTACCTTTGGTGCAGGACATGATATCTTTTTGAGTGAAAATAGTTCTTCGGGCAGTAGTTCATATAGTTACAATAATATTCATATACCAAAATCTTTTAATATTGGTACAATTGAAGTTTTTCAAGTAATTGAAAAATGAATTATATATATTATATTATATTATATGGGGTATACTGCAACAAAACCAGACAAGGTGAACATTTGCACTACCAAGGATTTCAAGGATCAAAAAAGCTTTTGTTTGTCCAAAGTCTTCTGGCATTATATATAGAATCGCCCCTATTACTATTACTATATATTAATATAATAATAATAATTATTATTATTTTTATTTAAAATAACTGTATCACAAATTTAAATACAATCACTAGTTTTTTAAAATAAGGGTTTAAGAAAATATTTATATTTAGATTACACTAAAAAAATATTTCTGCATTATTAAAAGAAATCCTATACCATATTGAATTTTTTTTTTAATAAAAGTATATTTGGAATAATTGTTTCTTATGTGAACTTTTTTTATGAATATTTCAGATAATTATATATATTCAAAACATCATAAACATTCCTGCTTATAATTCAAAGATGTGATTATAACAGAATTATTTCCTATTTAATTCATTAAATCTGGATGACACGAAATTAACTATCTGGTTCACTTTCAGTGCAAATTGAATTGATGCCATCTCGATGAATATCTTTACATGGAGTAACTGTCCTTGGAAGTCCTCTGTAAAGAGGTGAATTTTCTTCAAAAATATTGTAATTGTGTTCCTCATGTAATTCTAATATTGATTTTGTTGTTTCTAAAATTTTTGTCTATGCAAAAAACAAGACCATATCAATTTTTGAATATAATTGAATCTAATTGAAGCAAATAAAAATAGCAAGATACCCTTAGATTCCACAGTAAGACAATGAAGTCAAAAAAATATTCCCGATGATTGTTCCAATTAATGGGAACTTGAGCTTTGTATGTGCGCTCAAATAAAAGAACCCCATGTGCAGGATTAAATAATTGCCATATTTCTATATGATTTTCTACAGAATGCAAAGATGATCAGAGCATTAAAAGAATAATTAGATCACTATAAAGCTTTCTATAAAGGTTATTTACCAAAAACATGCACAAAGTGTGTTTGAACTTTAGAAAATGTAGATCTATTTCCTTTTTTATATCGTTGAGATAATTCTGTAAGCATATATGCAGCACCAACAGCCCCTTTAACATGGTCCCATGTTGACCTAGGTGGCTCTCGATGACCATACCCACCACTTATCTCAAGATGGCCAACTTCTAACAAACAGTTATTTAAACACATTAAAAATACACCATCAGCCTTTTGCTCATAATGATTAGTTGCTTTTCTTCATCTCTGTGATATTTCAACAGATGATAGAATCACTTCACCTCTTTAATCAGAAGGAATTTCAACATTATCAAGTATATAATATGTAACAAAACAACACATTTTACTGTTTAAAAGTTACAAAAATACTCACGGCTTATATAATATTTCATTTTCTAAACCAGAAAAAAGTTCTTTAAAACAAGTGTGAATAACATAAACTCCATATATACTTTCTGAATCTATTCCACGTTGAATCAAAGCATTGTTTGGATATACAAACTTATTACTGATGGAAAATGGAAAAAAAGTACTTTAACAAATGGATAAACCTTGCATTAATATTATTAAAAACTAAATTGAGTGAACCTACTACTTACAAGTCTGATAAAATGGCACAAAAGAATTTATTCATTGGATCTTGAAGTGATGCTTCTGGACCTCTTTGTCTAAGTGTTTCCAATTCTTTATTCATAGTATCTAAAGATCCCTGTAATGGTTTCATTTTAAACTTGATTTATTATAACAATAATAAGAAACAAAGGCAAACAAAAAGTAGAGATTAAACAAAGTACCAGTTAAGAAGATTTTTCATTATTATTGTAGGAGCTATTGAAACACGTGGTTTGCAGGTAAGTTGAATCTCATGATAATCTGTTTTAGAGCACCACTTAGGAGCTGCAATTTTATATCCACAACGAATTATTCCTGAGCATTCCAGTCTAATGTGTCATAAAATGTTAGTAAAAGAAAACATACAGTACACACCACAATTAAACATTAACTTGCCTTAATTTATGTCCATTAAGATTAGATGCATTTTTTAAAATATCAATTACTCTATTACCAGACTTCAATTTCCACTCCTTCCAAGAATCTATGCTAAAAGAATTAATTATTTGTTCATCCAGTTCGCTATTACCATTATCAGTTTCTTCAACAACTAGGTCATTAATCAATTCCATATTACTTTCAATATCATAATCCGACGTATTCTATGCTCAAATGAGGTAATGTGCTTCTTTCATTTTCATCTGAATTTGTGATAATATCATTATCTTTCATTACTTCCTGGACTAAGGTTGTGGGCAAAACCTCTTAATGACTGTCAAAACTCTGTCAAAACTCTAATGAACAATTAATGTGTAACCTGTCAAAACTCTGATGATTGGCGAAAACCCCAAATGCGAAACTCTGCCGAAACTCTAATAAACAATTAATGTGTAACCTGTCAAAACTCTGTCGATTGATTTCTGGAGGAGTTTCTCCCGCAACCTTATCCTGGACAGGAGCAACTTTAGATAGATTAAATATATTTATTGGCATAGAATTCAAAGAAGGTAGAAAGGCAAATTTTGGTGCAGGTATAGGTGGAGGAGATCAACCAAATAAAAAATGATTTTGACTTATAACATCTTTGTTAATGCCATCATCACGATCATCTTTTATTCAATGTAATATAAATTGAATCAATTAATATAAATAATATTAAAAGTGTTGTAAAATTATATAGTAGACATACCAAGCTTCTTTAGGATATTACCATTACTATTTGTTTTATTTGGCTTTTGATCAGATATTCTAAAAAATAAATACAATGTTGTTTAATATAACTAGAGTGATGACGAGTGGCGGGCGATAACCACCACCACCATCCTTAAAACACTTACCCTTTTTCTTCTTCCAAATAATCCTCTCTGCTTCTTTTTCTGTCATTGCTTTTGTTCGGCATTTTGAAATCCTTAAATTATTAAATTATTTAATTGATCGACGCATACACGCTAATTATTTATCCTATTGGTTTTTTTTTTGGTAGGACAGACGCGAATTGATTTTTTTTTCTTGGAAAAACAATTTATTTTTTGACAGAGTCCAAGGTGACAAAACGTGAACGTTGTTGTTTGGTTTGGTTTGGTCTCCTAAAGAAGAAGTGTTAATAACTAACCAGAGGTACTATTTTTTATTTGCATTGATATTTTTTATTTTATATAAATATTTTAATTGGAAATCAAAACGCGGAGCAGATCTTGCTGGGTAATTACAAGATTTTCATTGAAAATATTTTGCTTTTCGTAATCAATATTAATAATATTATATTATTATAATCACAAGAAGATGTCAAGGCAGCATGAGTGTCTGTTGAAAAAGAGACATTTCAAATATGAAACATTTTGATATGTGACGTTTGATTATCGGAAATTGGCAAACGTTGAAGCACACACACTGCCTTGAACACATTACAGTCATTCTTACGTATTCCTCGTGTACACAAGGCTAATCTGACCATGGCTCTCTGATGATACACGATGCAACATAACTCCAGGGGGAGTGTATGGCCCTGGAGTTTACCGATACTGCACCAATTGTCAAGGACACTTTCACTAATCTCCCCAGACCAGAGATGGCTGCCGGCATGCTAGCCAAAAAGTCGCCTGCAACGATCCTGCCTCTAGGGTAAGGATGGCACTATGACCAAGTCGCAACTCTGCTGATGAATATTAAGAGAATCTGCAGCTCGTTAAAGCACAGAAGGTCACAATTCAGAACAGGGTTGGTGGCCTTGAAATTGCATTTGGGCTCTGATGTTAAGAGGGAAGTTGTAAAATAGTGTTTGGTTTGTATAATCATTTTCCTAAACGCTCTGTTTTTTCGATACTAACCAATTTAATGATTTTGGATAGGGGACTGGATTGGGTTTTTGCCCAATCAGTCCTCTGTCCTGTAGGTTAAAATTATCGCATGATTATACACATCTTTGTCAGTAATATGGCCAACAAGGAAAAAGTTATAAAATGGTTCGGATTTTGTTTGGTATGTTTTGTATAAATTAATCATTTTCATAAATTTTCTGCTTCTCTTTAATTTTTATTTGACCAACTGAATTTTAATGATGTTAGCCATTTAAAAATCCTTAGCCGGCTAAGCCATTTATTACCTAAATTGGTAATTTTATTTCTAT